ATTATTTTTCTTGTTGGGGAAACCCCAATGTTTCTTGTATTTTAGTAGGCTAAGCCCTACCGTTACCTGTAGGTTTTATAGAAGAGAAAGCAATCGCCAGTAACCTTGCTACCCAGATTATACTTGTGAGATGTTCGAAATTGACCTATCAAAACAAGTACCTTTTGCCCAATTTTCTAATTCCCACGTGCCTGCACAGCCCGCACAATACAGCATGCAAACACTGACTTGGATCAGCCGCAGTTGAAGAAGTTCGTTGTGGTGATCACGTGATGCCACGTGATATCGCACGTAGAACAACGTATGCTACGGCATTGTGTTTTACTGTGTAGGCTATATGAATTTAATACATGTTTGTATTATTATATATATTATTATGTTTTTAAAATGGTTAAACCATGGCACATGTTTATATTGCTAAACAAGGCAGTCGGCTATTCCCTTCTTGCCAAGCAGCAGCGCGTTTACATTCCTGAAGGCGGCGTTCAAAGAATCAGATCAGACACTAGAGCGTCTATATTCCTGAGTTGGCGGCGTTTAAAGAGAAGACTACTGTATGTGATTGACCTTGTGTCTGCTTCTCTCATGCTTCTCCTAATCGTGGGAACCTACTTGTGTGGGAACGTTTCTCACTGAATTCACTGTTACTAGGCAATTTGCAGTAATGCAAACTGGTGGTATATGCCTATTTCAAACAGTTTATTTCCGTTCATGACAGAGTAAGAATATTGATACGAAAAAAAAAATGAATTGATTTTATTTCTGAACGGGACCGGTAGCGGCAGGATTTGGCGGAAGGGGATACGATGTCTCCGACAAAAAATCACGAGGCAAATATTAAAACAGTGTAAATTTTTATTTCATTTCCTTCAACTTTACTTATATACCGGGATGGTGTCCGGCGGGAGATAGTTGTTACTATCACAGTTTAACTTTTATCTATCAGAATATAGTCCCGAATCCTAGACTCATGTATTTAAAGCGGCCTGTAGCATATGTATACAGCATATATTGGTATTTTTTGTCGATGGATAAGTAAATGTCCGAATATAAGAATTGAATACTGTTTTCTGTACACTACATGTTTGTTTGGGTCAGTTAAGAATTAGCACTTAATTAGGCCTATTAATGAAATACAACGGTACACAATTATACACATCTAGATGTGTATAAGAGACAGCGGTACACAAACATTCACTTGTATGTTTTATTTATATTTTGACATTAATATAGGCCTTTAACACTCAATATTATTTTTATTTAACATAAGCCAATAAACAGCTTCCACACATAAAATAACAGTAGGCCTAACTAATAAAAATATAAAAAATACAATAACAAGATTATGCAAGATTAAAAAAAACTGTACAGAAGTCTCCGCCCGGCAGGCAGACAAGGCCATACTTTAAATTGGCATCCAGGCACTCCATCGAACGTCCTATTGTTAGCATCTCAACTGACCCAATTCTATCAGAGCGGCGCTCAAAGCGAATTTCTGTAGACCAAGGAGGAAAGTTTTTTTCCTCCATGTATAGATCAACACCGGCCACACAGTCAGTGACATTTGTCACGTGGTGTTGCGTACTCTGTTGAACTGATCACATCCACACACACGAGGTACCCAATATTAATTGTACAGTAGTTGCATAGGCCTAGTTGCTGTATATAATATATATTGATGCCTACGTTTAATAATAGAGAAAATAGATGTTCTATTTTCTCTATAGTTTATTGAATGATGTTTGGCGAATACTGGCGTCCATTTGTGTTCCCATGTAATATGTGTGCAGGGAGTTGATAAATGTTTTTTCGTTCGTCGTCAGCTTCTTAGCTGGTAGGCTGCTATTTAACGAAGATAGGTCTTTCCGACAGAGCAAACAGCACTTAGGCCTACATGCATGTGCTGCCATTATCGTCATTACCACTTAATTTAACTATTAGGTATATGAAGCCTTTAAACTTTGAACTTGGTTCATTTGAAAGTAAAACTTATTCAGTATTTTAAATTGTACAAAAACGGTAGTTCAACCGGGGCCTGTTCTAACGACACAGACGCGTTTGTCGCCCAAAACAATAGAAACAATGGCAAACGCGTTCAACAGCACAAACCCGTTTAGTCGCGTCTGGGACATATTCCGACTAGCTTATTAATATTCATGAGGCACGATAATTAGACGATCGCTTTCCCAGACGCGTTTGTAATACATTGTTTTCCCAGACGCGTTTCTGTCGTTGGGGATAATTTGTAGATCGCGCCTAATTCAAAAGTGCCATGGTATCCTGAGGCATGTCTGTAAATGATCTATATAGTGATCTATAATTATATACCTGTAGACCATTGCTTTACACTGTACGGCGGTTTAAAGCAGAAAAGTCAAAACCTATGTCCTGAAATGTAGACAACATTGAATTGCCCCATGTGGGATGAATAAAGATATATTGTATAACTATGGAGGTATTATTGAGAAGAAGATCACTCGAAAAAGCTACGTGCACGTAGAGCTATGCAAATGAACCAAGAACAAAGCTGCCGCAGTGCGTGAAGAAAGTTTGCGCGATGCCTTTGAAGTCTGATGTGTTCTCCGCCACCAAATGCTCAGCAGGCTTTGATTACCAAAAGATTGAACACGGTGAAATGGAGAGCATGTTCTTTTCTCAATGCGCACTACTTACAGTTAATCACTATGGCTGCGCAATCGTTTCCATCTTGAAGAAATACCAAACATAATAATATTTTCTAAAAAAAAGAGTTTCGAAATTAATGAAACATTTACATCAGCTTTGAAAGTATGGTATATTGCAACTTGAATTTCCATAAATTGGATAAAACTCGATAATTCCAATTTTAACAGATATTAATTAAGGAATGATGGAGGATTATAATAAACTAAGTCATTTTAGGGTTAACGAGGGTTAACTATTCAAAAATTTAATCCAGAATCAGAGTAATTTTCAGCTTTACGCTGCCTTAGCTTTATAGTCAAACAAATCGATCTTTAGACAAAATTAAAATGAACACAGAAGTAATTTTAACAGAAATATTTTGCGGAATCTGTTTCTGAAATATACATATAATATCATACTAAAAGTCTGAAAAAATCCAATCAGGAGAACATTGTTTATTATAAAGATATTTAATGGGTTAACGCTTTATCGCACAACTGCAGTGCTGGAGCGTATAGATGCATGTCATTGCCAAGTTGTTGCTAACGAAAAATGTGAATTATAGGGTAATACGCCCGCTCGCGATCCAAAGGCGGGGAACAAATTGGTTTGTCGTGTCAAGGGGATCTGTTGCCGAGTGATCTTCTCAATAATACCTCCATGGTATAACTGAAAGCTCGTAACTTTTCAATGTGCTTTTTAAAAGCAAATATATGAGGTTTCCAATCCCAAAACCAGCATACTGTCGCTAAATGTTAAACTGAGTACAGTAATTATAATGTGGCAGTATTGTATACTTTAGTACAGAGAATCTGTAATACGTTGACAATTAGAACCCTGTGGGTGTGTACGTTCCTTTGTACGCAAAAACTAAAAGGAAATTTGGGAATTGCAATAATTAATAGTCACCAAAGCCATTCACTACTAACTACCAACTAAATCCTTTCCGAGCCACTGGGGCTCATAGTGTGAAGCGGATGAGAGTTGTACTTCCCCTGGACGATACACTAGTCCGTCGCAGGTTAGTCCCCAGCAGTTTGCTAATACCCATTGATACAGCTGGGTGGACTGAAGCAATGTAGCAATGTAGTGCCTTGCCCAAGGACACAAGCGAATCTACACAGCGGAGACTCCAAACTCCGACCTTACGTCAACCGCTGTGCCAAACTGCTGCTACAATTTTTTTGAGGTGAGGGCAACCTCAAATGTTATTTTTGAGTGTCCAGAGGCGGATTTAGTGGGGGGGGGGATACACATCTGTACTGTAGACCTGATCAGTATAGAAATGCTGATGATTTGCAACAAGAATTTGTGTAAATAAAATTCACAAATTTATGTTTGTCTACTATGTTAGGTATGAACGACTTGAGATACCCTTCCATATAGTCAAGAATGACACCCTTAGTGAGCCATGCCTACAAGCCATGATCCAAGGCCTCCCCCCCCCCCACCTTTTGGACATCTCTGGATCTGCCCCTGAAGAAAATCCACACATCAAAGAAAAACCACTATGGTACAGTAGTTGTACACACACACTCGCTCCTAGGCTGGATGACAGAAAGCCCTATACTTCCTACAGCCTATAGCTAAGCCAAGGCTGTAACAGTTCTCTAAATTCAGCAGTTATGATTTTTTTTCCCCTTTTGAAATAGATTAAAACAAAATCTAATGAGC